CTTCGTCCCCCCCCCCCCCCCCCCCCCCTTAAGACCCCCTTAAGGGGGTGACCCTTAAGCCCCCCCTTGAAGCCCCCCTTAAGCCCCCCTTGAAGCCCCCCTTAAGCCCCCCCTTCGTCGAAGGTCCGGGGCCCAGCCCCAAACAGTACAAGGAGGAGCTGACGAAGTTTTTCCAGTTTGGACGGGCTCGTGGCTTGAACTTACAGAACCCGACACGCACCGACGAGCTCCTCCTGGACTACTTCCACGTCCTCTACAAGGAAGGCCACCAGAGCCACAAGGCGGAGACTCATGGCGTCGTTGCTTCACCACCGCCCGGACTACGGAAAGCTGGGCACCAAGCCTGGAAGGTCTTGAAAGGCTTTCGTCGCCTTACCTCGGGACGTACCAGGAAAGCCTTTGCTCTGGCAGTCTGGGCCGCCTTTGCAGCCGAGATGCGCCGCCTAGGCAGGCTTCCCATGGCCTCTTCTTGTTGACAGCAGTCTCCAGCTACGCCAGACCGTCGGAGCTGCTGAGGGCTCGTGCGTGCTGCCGTGTGAGGCCAGCAGACGGTGTGACGCGAACTTGGACCTTGCTGCTCTCCCCAGAGGAAGAGAAGGTGAGCTCAAAGACTGGAGACTTCGACGTGTCGGTTGCCCTGGACAGCCCGTGGATGGCTCTCTGGAGCGACAAACTCTTCGACTTGCTGAAATCGTGCCACCTCCTGACCCCTCTTTGGGACTTCGACTACCGGGAGTACGCGGAGGCTTCAAGGAGGTGGCGCAACGTCTGGGGGTGGATGCTACCCCTTACCAGACAAGACACTCCGGCCCGTCCATAGATCGCTCCAGGGACCATCGCTCGCTCGTGGAAGTGCAAAAGCGCGGCCAGTGGCGAGCTCACAAAAGTGTAACTCGCTACGAGAAGAGTGCACGTCTCGCCAAGACCTGGGAGAGCCTCAATCCCCACTTCAAGGCTCACGCCGAATGGTGCAAGCAAACCTTGGGGGAATCTTGCTCGGACATGTGGCTCCAAGAAGTTTCGTCGCAACCGAGACTTGAACAACCGGTACGTGATGGACCTCTTCTCAGGCAATGGCGGTGTCTCTCGGGCCATTCACTCCATGGGATTTAAGTCAAAGTTTTGGGACATCAAGCACGGCAGCGCCCATGATCTCACTGATAACTCTGTCATTGACCGCATCATCCGTGAAATCCGAAAGGGCAAGGTTCTGGCGTGCATGATGGCCCCTGTTTGCACAAGCTTCAGCGTTGCCAGAGACAGAACTCAGGTGATTCGCAGCAGACGATTCCCTTGGGGCATTCCCTCACGTTTTCTTAGTGAGAAAGAGATCGCCGATATTCGTCTGGGGAACGCCTGTTTCCGCAGTTGTTTTCGCATTTTGCAAGCCTTGGATGAACACCGAGTGCCTTACATCCTCGAGAACCCCGACACCTCTAAGGCCTGGTACTTGCCGCAGATGCGTCGTCAGTTGGCGCTGCCCTGGGCTAAGTACATTCGGAGTGACTTCTGCTGTTTCGGCACCCCTTGGCGAAAAAGAACAGGTTTTCTCTGTGGGCACGTCCCCTGCGAGGATCTCACACGGCTCTCCAAAGTTTGCAGCTCAGTGAACCACACCTGTGACTTGACTGGCAAGAAGCATGTGCGCTTGACAGGGAATCGCCATGGGATCCCTTTGACAAAGTGGGCAGAGCCGTACCCGCAAAGGTTGTGCACTGCGTTGGCATTTGCTTTGACCGCCCAGCAACATACGAGCCTGGCTTCCAGATTTCAGTAAGTTTTCGTTTCCCTCCCTCCCTGCCCTGTTAACTTCGTCCTTGGGACACAGATTCGGGGCTTGTGAAATTCAGTGATGCATAAAGACTGTGCATCACCTGGGGGCCTGGGCTTGAAGCCGGCGGCCAGCATGCTATGACTGTGTCAATGCAGCTCGAGACATAGCCGCAAAAGGGAACGGATAGTCTGTCTGAGCGTGCTTGTAAAGACTAGAAGTGGAGACTTGAATGACGCTATCTCTCACTCAAGCTCTCCCTCCCTCCCGCCCTGGTTGTTGCTGGGGCTTGTGAAATTCAGTGATGCATAAAGACTGTGCATCACCTGGGGGCCTGGGCTTGAAGCCGGCGGCCAGCATTCTATGACTGTGTCAATGCAGCTCGAGACATAGCCGCAAAAGGGAACGGATAGTCTGGGTTGGTTGGCGATGCAGAAGAGCCGCAGGCTGGGGAGTTGGAAGTTGGAACAGCTTGTGGAACGTGTCGCCGAAACTCGCAAACAGGAGCATGCATGTCACCGGACTTTGCTCGATGCCCAGGGCGTTTTGATCCATTTCTTTGATGCTCATATTCGGGTGGGCTGTCCATCCGGAGCAGGTGCGAGACTCTTGCTTCCGGTAGAGCAAGTCTCACCGCTCTGTTTCGGGACATGTTGCGTCGCTTGTGTGTACATCATTCGCTTGAAAAACCTTGCCTAATCACCCACGTTCTGACACGGAAAGATGACATTTTCGGGCGGCGAAGGCTATGCACTCGGTGTCCGGCAGGCTCAAAGTATGCAAGGATATGTCGGGGGCAGACGCGGGTAGACTGTCGAAAAATGGTATCCTGGATCTTGGGATGCTCCAGCACTCGGCATTGCAAGCTTCAGAGAGCATGTTGTCATCATGCTTTGGAAGTGGTTTGATCTTGAAGGTTGAAGCATCCACCGCTGTTCCATCCATAAATCGTGCATAGGCTGCTGCATGCTATGGAGCCAGAGATCGGCAAGGAAACGCATGTGCGCGAAGGCTGCTTCGGCAGATTGCGGCGGAAACTGACAGAACCGCATGGCCATTCTGGCCATTCAGCAACTTGTTTCGAGTTGATTTTGTCGTTGGGGGATTCACCCGTTTCTTCTTGTGCATGATTCCTGATACATTCCAAGGTTATGAAAACCGACCCTGGCATATGCCAGACATGCAGGAAAGCGTTATTTTCCATAAAAAAGCGTTCTCAAAAAGCGTTCCCGAAAAAAAGCGTTTCCAAAAAGCGTT